AAAAATTATCAACAATGTGAAAAGACAACCTAAAGATTGGGAGAAAATTTCTTGGAACCATATATCTGATAACTCAAAACCCCACTGTTGTTAAGTCAGTTTCAACAATAGCAACCTTATGGACAGGGCAGATCTGCCCCATAGGATTTCTAAGGCTGTAATCTATGAGTCGGGGCCGACTCGACGGCACATAACAACAACAACAACAACAATCTTCACAGAAGCAGACTTCCATAACTTTCTCCCATGGAGCTACTGGTGGGTTCAAACCACTGACCTTTCAATTAGCAGCCAAGCACTTAACCATTGCATCATCAGGGCTCCCTATATATCTGATAAGGGTCTAATATAGAAAAGAGATTTTAAAAAAAACTTTGACAACTAAACAACAACAACAAAAAAAAAAAAAACAGGCAAAGGACATCAAAATACTGTGTGATCTCACTTATATGCAATAAGCCAATATATAGAAGCTATATTATACTACTACCGTATTAGTAGTAATTACCAATTTTCAGAAGGAAGGTTGGGCAATCTACATCCATAGTGATACTGCCTCGGAAACCCAAGGAAGCGTCACTATGAGTTAGATCCAACTCGACAGCAATGTGTTTGGTTTGTTTTGGCACCAGGAGTGGGAAGGAAGGGGTGTTGCTTAGGGGGTATTGAGTTTATGTTAGCAATTGGAAAATGATAGTGAGAATGGTTATACAAATTGAAGAATGTAATCAATGTCCCTGAATTGTACATATAGAAATTGTTTAATTGATTTATGCTTTATTATAGGAGCTCTGGTAGCACTGTGGTAAGGCACTCAGCTGCTAACCAAAAGGTTTGTGGATCTAACCCACCAGCTACTCCACAGAAGAAAGATGAGGCAGTCTGCTTCTGTAAAGATTTACAGCCTTGGAAATCCTATGAGTCAGAAAGGACTTGATGGCAGTAGGTTTTGGTTTGAGTTTTTATTATGTATAATTTCACCACAATAAACAAAAGACTCCATACAACTTAACAATAAAAAGACAAATAGCCTAATTAAACAGTTCAAAGTATTTGAACAAACATTTCTCCAAAGAAAATATACAAAAGTCCAATAAGCACATGGAAAGATGCTCAACATCAATAGTCATTAGGGAAATACAAATCAAAATCAAAATGAGATACTACTTCACATCCACTAGGATGACTATAATCATAAAAACATACAATAACAAGTGTTAGAAAAACACATGGAGAAACTGGAACCCTCATACATTGCTACTGGGAATATAATACGATGCAGCCACTTAGAAAATGTCTGGCAGTTCTGGCAGTTTGTCAAAAAGTTAAACATAGAGTTACAATATAACCCAGCATTTCAATTTCTAGGTATATACCCAAGAGCACTGAAAACATATGAACACAAAAACTTCTATGTGAATGTGCATAGCAGCATTATTCATAATAGCCAAAAAATAGAAACAAACCAAATGTCCAACTGATGAACAGATAAAATGCGGTATATCTACACAATATTATTCAGCCATTAAAAGGAATGACATTCTGATACATGCTACAAGATGGACAAACCCTGAAAACGTAGAGA